ATATTTTTTTAGGAAGAGTTTTACAGCACTTGAAACACAATAGGGTTATATAAGTACCAAAGATTGGAGGTGTTACAAGAATGTAACAAACACAAAAAAAAAGAAGGAGGAGAGATCAGGAAGACAGATGTTCGATCGGAAAGAAGGAGCAAACCACACCAGAGCACCCGCCAAACACCCACCGACAGCATCTCTTGGGTTAATAAACAAAAACCAAAACCAAAACCAAAATCAAACACCAAAAATAAGCAGAACAAACCAAAACTAAACAACAAAACAAAAACAAACAAAAAGACTGCACCTATAGGATGTGTTCATTTTTCAACCCCAAACGATCTAACTTGCATTTTATGACATTATTGAACATCGAATTCCCGGAACAACAAATTAGATGTAAACGAGTATAGATAGCGATAACAACGAAAGTGTAAAAAAACATACTAATTATCTATTTCATTGATCTACGAGAGGAAATTTGGTTTACAATGTCATTACAATGTTATGATTATCGTACGGATACATATATCATTAGTGCTTACAAGGTAAAAACAATGATTAATCAACGATAAAAAAAACCATAAGATCTCCAGAATACAGACAATGAACGAAGCCTTTCTGGTCGAAATTGGGCTGACTTTGTTTTTTTGTTGGGTTTTATTATTGTTGTTTTTGTTAGTGTTGTTTTTGTGGTTGTTGTTGTTTTTTTTACAAGGATTGTCGTTTATTGCTCAAGGACACACACTCGTATAGCAACCGCTACACTATTTCACTCACATTTTAATATTATGTATAGCCCCGTAAAGAAATCTGGCGCTCATCATTTTCCAGCTTGTTGGGCAGTCTGTATCGCTTATCCTTAGGTTGACCTCATTTATTGTCCATTTAAAAACATATAATATCTGTGTGAATATTACTGAAAAACCTTGATCAAAGGTAAAGAAAAAGAATATGTAAATTTAAGGTTTCCAAGAATACTACAATTGTTTGGAGTCACAATCCTTTAGCGGTCATTTTCTCGCTTATTTTACTTCTGCCATCAAGCGATCCCCACCTCCTTCAATCTCGAAGATCTCGAACGGTGATAGAGGGTGCCCACGTCCCTCGCGACTCGTTGGAGCAGAGGAAGATAGGACTAACGAAAACATTACTTAAACTCAATCACACATCATCACTCATCACCACCATTATTTCTAAAATCGTCATTGCTCTCTGATCGTTGACACACATCTGTATTTCTTTGAAACTCTATCTGTAACAGTTACACGGTATAACATTTATCTCACGTAATAGTAATACTAATACACTATTGGACACTATCATAAGCACCTTTTTTACAAATCAGATGGTGTAAATCTCATATAAATGGGCAAAGGAATAAAAAGATATACCCTTTAACTTTAACATTTTTAACGTCACACATTTTAAAAGCGTGAAGCTAAAAAACTACACGTCCAATTAGATCTACTTTGAAATGTTTACACATGTCACACAAGCTCATTGTCGTTCGTGAACTGTACTCACTAGGCTGCACTGGTCTATCGTTTGTCTGACGATGTCATTCACGGGGTTATGATACTTTGTCAAATACTGTGAACATGTGTGGGTAACTTTGAAAGCAAAAAACAACACACGTAAAGTTGGGTTTCATTTGCATTTTTCACCACATTAAAAGTGTCTTCTCTTCATCGATCCACCATGCTTCGACAAAATGAATCAAAAAGAAATCACATCTTTGAAATGCTTCAGGTGGGCCCTTCGCTTTCGTAAGTCGCGAGAATTTTCAATATAAAGTGTGAAGCTAAAAATGTTAAAAGAGTATAGATCTATCTCGACTTCTGCTTGAGATGGATTTGGCATTCGTTCATTAAAATCAAGACAAACGAACGGGCTTTAAGATGACGCCAAAGTGCACAGAGCTAGATGTTGAG